TCAGCTAAACATATGCGTGGGATTTTTTTCTTTGAAGAGTCTACATTTGGAGTTTGAAGTTTTCTGGAAGAAAAGAGGCAGAAAATAAAATAGGCAGGCTCCTGGAGAGAGAACTAGAAAATAAAATTTTTGCATCAAAGTGTGAGTTTTACAACAGAAGAAATACTAGAGAAACTCAGGCTCTTCCTGTTGTGGTGGAAGTATGTGAGCGGTGTCAGCAGCGAGGAGAAGAAGCACGGATGGGGATAAGAAATAAACGGACAATGCGAATGTTGTCATCCACTGGGGTGTTTCACTACTGTTGATGAAACAAACGCGAAAACAATCTCAGCATGCAGGTCTTGCAAATGTACTGAAGCGGATACTTCCTGAGGGTTTCTGGAGGGGGCTCTGGGAAACAAAGATAGCCGTGCTAAGGAATCGGTTAGTTTCTGTGCTGTCTGCCATGGTGTTTCATAGTTAAGACTCGGGCACTGTTGGAGGAAGAAGTAATTTTACGGTCTGAAAATAGCATCACGAGGACATTTTGAGAAGGAGTGGTAGTTTCTGATTTGGAGAAGGCTAAAGCTGGGCAGTTTACGGTTACATTTTTCTGGAATCAGTCACAATATTCTTTATATGCCAAGGCTAAGGGGTTGTTTCTACTACAGGTAGATGTTGTTGCTAAATAGGAGTAACATTCTGGAAAGTGCATCCCATTGTAAGCGTGTTAATACAGCAGCATGCTGTGGATGCCAGGTCAACCTTTGTGCAGCTTTTTTGTTGTATCCTAAACTTTTATCCTCATCATTGTCCTCTGAAATAATTTTAATTTTTTGCTGAAAATCTGTAAGTGGGAATTTTGTACGTTTTCTGTTAGTTTTGGTCTGTACTGAGATTCACAGTGAAGTAACTAAAACAACAACTTAGCAATTATTTCGAGGCACTCTGGGCTTCATCAGCCTAGGAGTTGGTTTTGTTCACGTGGAAATGGGCTGTATCTCTGAGGAAGACAAAGTATCCTTAGTTTATCACTATTGCTGACTCTTCATTCTTCTGGACTTTAATATTTCACTTTTTTTTGTTAGTGTGTGAAGTTAATGGTGGTGCTTTGTAGTAACAGTGAGTGAGCACAGTGGATAGGGGAGCAGCAAGTGGTTATCCTCTGTTGTCTTTGAGATCTCTCCTGATTTCCTAACTGAAAGAAGTTCTGTTAGAATTAGGAGGGAAAACCACTGGCATGTTGAAGCTCTGGCGGTCAGGAAGCCGTGTGCTTACCTTGGTAGTGAAGTCAGTGGTTAATACTGAAGGCCAACAGAAAGAAATTGGGAGGGGACAATCTGCAAATCAAATTGAAATAGATTGTTAACTAATCCTTCCAAATTTTATTTATTAATTTTGTAATTATACCAAATGAAATCCTCACAAGCTACTCTGATTGCTTGGCTTACCTCAATTTATATTCAAATCTCAATAAAATACATTTCAGCCTTTTCTTAATGAGAAGATGAAAAATGCTATCCTGTGGAAGAGTAGGGGACACACATTCCAACATTCCAAGCAGTCACCTGTTTGCTTTTTAGTGTTGCTATTGAATTTGTGTTTAACTCAAGATTAAAGTATGAGCTGACATATTTGAGTAAGGATATCTTTAAGCCATGAGTTCTTAAAAATGGACACAGAATTGATTAACAGAAAGAGATTTTAAAACTTGAAGGATGCTGAATAACGAAGACATTGTATTACTGTTTGATTAGATGCACAAAGCAGAGTTTCATGAAGACCTGTAATGATACTGGAGTCCCACTGTACAGACAAAATGTTGGGTGTTTTTGTGGCAGTGATGGAAGGGGAAGGGTCCTCACTCGTGTGAAGAGGGGCAGGTGCTGCGTGGGGGGTGCTGACGGGCAGAGGGCAGGGAGCTTCCCTTGGGAACCCGCCTTGGACCACGCAGAAACAGGCGGTGCCCCGGGAGGTGCCGATGTTGGATAGAAGGGGGATTAAAGCAGCAGTCCTGCCCTTCACACAGACAGGGCTAAAGCATTAGTATTGCTGGCAGGCAGTTTGTTCCCTATGTGCTAGACAGCACTCAAACAGCGAGAAGTATTCCCCATCCTCAATGGATGCACCATTTTACTAGGCAGCAAAGCTTTTAAATGCTAGCAAGAACTTGTCGGTGACTGCCATTTACTCACAAGTGTGTATCTCAGGTCACCTCTGAAGCTTTCAAGGGGTTTATATTATTTTTGAAAGACAGGTTTGTGTATGCTTTTCACAGTGGGTCTTTTTCACCAAAACAAGTGATTCATAACGACAGGATTTTGGTCAGATTTTCTAGATGACTGGAGATAATTTTAAATGATCTTCATTGTAAATTTAAAAAAATACAACCGAAAACAAGAAGACTTTGCCCTCTAAATATAGGTGACTTTGTCCAAAATGAGCTAAAGTACAAACCTAGGTTTGCTTTCCCAGTTAATAAAATGTGCTATTAATGGGACAGTGAGCAAATGTCACATTCACATGTTGGTGTCTGTCAGAGCAAATCAAAGTCTACTGTGTGGCACAAGAGGTAAAAAACCCCACATTGTAATAAAACTGTCATAGGATCAGTGTCTCCTGCTTTGTAAATAAACACCTCTGCTTTGCCTCAGTATTTCTGTAACATCCGGAGACTATTATCCTGTGCTGGTGCTCTGGTTCATTGGCAGTTTCACTTAAACAGTTAAACAATAATTTGAAATGGAAAATGTTCTGCCCATATTCCTTAGTTCCTTTGTGTTTTTTTTTTTTACCCCAGTATTTTTTATGTTTTTTTTTTTTTAATCAATTGCTCTAGTAATTGCGTCTTGTTTTTTGTTACACAGGAAAATACCGAACTGCTCACAAACCTCATTCAAAGCCAAAAGTATCAAACGTTTTTGAGGTAGATTTTCCAGCGAATGGAAGTGATACAAAATCAATGGGCCGTTTTCAGTCAGAGGAAGAGCTGTGGGCCCGGTTAGAAGAGCTCGAGAGACAAGAAGAGATACTTGGTGAACTTGACAGGTATAGGACTGCTGTAGCACATTCAGGTTTGGAGTTCAGAAAGCTATAGGTGTGTGATTCTGTTTGTACACAAAGGATCTCACTGTAAGTGCAAATAGCTGACTAGACTGATGCAGTTAAAATTATAATAGGTGGAAGAAGGGTGGAACATGAACAAAGTGTGCACTGCAAGGCCAAAGGTGCTAAAATCTGCCTTTCTGCAACCACGGCAGTCCAGCATTATAGTATTTTTTCCTTGAGATGATAGAAAAGGGTGAAATAAAATCCATTTCCCACAGGATAGGAAAATCCATCGTTTACAATGTAGGAGTTAGACATTTAGTGTTTAATGACATCCTTAGATCTATTCTGATCCTAAAGCAATACATATGTCACTAGCCAAAATGTCACAGTTCTGGTATTTCCAGTTGACATGGAAAGCAGATAGTCATTCGTACAGAGTATAAAAAAAGTTCCACAATCTGTCTAAAAATATAATACCTGGGTAAAGAAAATGATGTGCAGGCTTGTTCATTATTTTATATGCCTGTCTCTCTCAAGAGTATGAAGTGCCTCAGTTCACTTAGATATTTTTCATTTCATAGGATGCCTGATACAGTTGAGACAAATGGAGAAGATACAACCTCCTCTGAAGAGGAGAAAGAAGATAAGAGGACAGATCTGAATGGGACATATAGAGCCGAAGACTGTATTACTCAGGGCAACTTCCATAAAGAAGTAACAAATTCAGACTTGTTCGGTGGCCAAGTTAATGGGTCTACTTATTATCACAGTGATGATGAAGATGACAGAGATGTTGGAGATAGCTCTGTTCCAACTATTTTTTTCTCTCACACTGTTGAACCTAAAAGGGTTTGTACTCTATTATCTTTCTCTCAAAAGATTGCATAAAACATACATATCACATCTAATATAGAAAATTTTAGATAATGTAGATAATGTAGAATGATAACTGTAGGTGACATTTATTTGGATTTTTTTTGAATGCTTGAAACTCATGGTTTAGGTCCTGCAGTTTCAAATATGGTATTAAAAAAAATGATCTTCAGATACCTTGCTGTTCTGGCTTCTGGCTGTTGTAAAAAGCAGTATCCTGTCCAGGAGTTTTTGAAATGACTTTTTACTTGACTTGAAATTGACTGTTGAACAGCTCTGCTGTTGGGCAGGGTTTGAATAAGCACATTAGTGCAAAGAAATGCCCCACCCTAGTGCAAGTGGTAAAGAATGAACAGTTGACACTATGAGTGTCACTGTTCATACATCTGTTTAACTTGTCTATGCTTTGTAGTCAGCAGCTGCTTGGATAGGAGAATGTCAGAAGTCAGTTGATCTGAAGCCTGGTGATTGTTGATTTTATGGTCTAGACCATAATTTGTGTTCAATTTTCAGGTAAGAATAAACACAGGAAAAAATACTACTTTGAAATTCAGTGAAAAGAAAGAAGAGGCCAAGCGTAAAAGGAAGAACAGCAATGGCAATGGCCATGCAACTCCAGAACTGCCTAACATCAAAACCCCAGCAGACATTTACCGGTGTGTAATTTATACCATTGATGTGTGAGCTTGCCCCTTAGTGGACCTTCTCTTTTCATTTCTGTTCACCTATAGTATGAAACTGAGCCTACCATTTCCTGAAAGATCAGCTGGAACTGAATTTACAACTTAAAAATGAACGTTTGTGGCTTCTGCATGGTTGCTGTGCTTTCATATCCATAAAACATTTTGGAGCTTAAAATTTCCTTTTCCAACTAGCAATTCATCATTTACCTACTTTTTCTGAGCTTCTGAAATTGAGGTAAATTTGCCAGTATGTATCATCTGCATAAAAGAATACAGCAGTCTGTTATGTATTCTGGTCAATGCCATGTCATTTGCTTCTGTGTTTGTTTTTGAAACATAACTGACCAGATTAGCACTTGTAATACTCCTCTTTTCCCAATTACTAATTGCTGGTTTTTGCTCTTTCTTCCAGTATCTTCAGAATATAGTCAGGTCTTTTGCATATTTTCTCTTGCGTTCTCTCTCCCTGACTTTAGTCCATCACTGTCTCTATTCTCCGTAAAAAGAAGTGCTCACCTGTGGAACACCCACACTCAAGAGAGCTTGAAAAATAATGCTGGGCTTAGAGGACTGTATAAAATAGTAAACTAAGGTGACAGGAGAGTTAAAACAAGTATTTAGGTTTGTAAAGATAAACATAGACACCCATTAGATTGGTTGATTAAATGCTTGTGAAAATCACACTGCATTTGTATGTTGGTGTATTCAGGCACCTAAACATCTTAAAAAATGTGTCGCAAAGTGGGAAAAGTTAAAACCCATCCTGTAATTACAGTTGCTGAGGCTGAAGATGAGATAAAGGATTCTTTCATGGTGCTCTCCCAGTGCTCTGCAGAGGAACTCCATCTTCTGTAGAGATACGCAAGTGTTCCCATGGAGTGCCTGATGAATAAAGCTGTTCAGAAACGAGTAACACCCTTAAAAACTCATCCAGTCGTTGGGCTCCTCTTTTATGAGTTTGATTAAATTGGCACTGTCTTCTAATGCCACTCATTTTCCTCCACCCATCCTTGACTTACTTTAAGTCATGGAGATGGAGTACAAACTGTAGGAAAAGTCCTCTTTATCAGTTTTCAGTCTGTTAATACTTGAAAATTGGCTTTGTTTTGATCTGAACTTAACAGCTGATATTTTTAATTCTTTTTTTTAACTGAAAGCAGAAGACTGTGGCACTCGTCAGGAAAAACCTTAATCCTTTCCATGTGCAATGAATGTTTCAAGTATTTGTTTTTATATTCTACATTTGACAAGGACTTCATTCTTCCATCATTGTGACTTTCTGTTTTCTGACAGAAACAACCCTGACAATCATTTAGTTTACCTTTTTTCTAACCTTTTGTAACTCACACTGTTCTGTTTTCTGACACATTTCGAAGAGCTATACATTTTCTGCTGAGTGTACCAACTTAGTGCTTGAATAAAGGGCGTAACAGTGTTTGCTCTGCAGAATTGATGCTTGTACGTTGGTAAATAAAATGCCTCTAAAGGTACAGTATTGTAATTCTGCAGCAAAAAAGTTGGAAAAGCACATCATAATTAATTTGTACAAAAGACAAAGCAAGATCACTGTAAATTTGTCATCTGATCCTGAAATGGTTTATTAAAGCTAACATTTTCTTTTATAGAGTCTTTGTTGATGTTGTGAATGGAGAATATGTCCCTCGTAAATCAATTTTGAAGTCTCGAAGCAGAGAGAACAGTGTTTGTAGCGATACCAGTGAGAACAGTGCTGCCGAGTTTGATGACAGACGAGGAGTTCAGAGGAGTATTAGCTGTGATGAAGCTACTCAGAGTGACAACAGCGAAGGCATACTGGAGGAAGAGGAGGAGGAGGGGCAGCAGCAGCTACCAAAAAAGCCTCCTCCCTCTTCAGGGACAACCGAGGTACAGTTTTTAATTAATTATTGATTGTTGGCAGGGATAAAAATGAGAAATCTAATGACTGTAGTTGCCTCTACCATCAGTTTGATTTCTTTAAAATAATTTTCTAACTCCTAGAAAATAATTTTCTAACTAGTTTGCTTCAGAAGGATATTATCAGGTGACAAGCTTCTGTCATACGCATTCTAGGGGCAGAGGGGAGGAGACTTCCCCAAGACCTGAAGCTCTTCCATAAAGATCTGACAAAGTCATCACTTCCTGCTGTTACTGAAATCAGAATCATGTCTACTGGGTCATCCTGAAAATTTCACTGCAGGTTATACATCAGGATTGAAAAAAAAAAAAAGAGAAAAATCTGTGCTTCGTAGTTGATGAGAGGGAAGAGTTGATTCTCTGTAACCTGTGTTGCACAGGTACCAGACAGCTAGTTTCCAGGTGGTGTTTTTAAGTTTTAAAACACACAAATATCAGTGGAGTTATTTTTTGGAATTGCCCTGTGGAAGGAAGCATAATACCTCTACTCATCCTATTCCAGACGAGGGCCGTTAGTGATCCCAAACAAATCCATTTTCACACATTTGGAAAGTTCAGAGCTTCATCATAAAGCAAAGAGGCCGTACGCTATAAGGGAAAATGTACAGTTGCTTAGTGACTGGATGAGTACAAGAACTAAATGGAGCTGTTGCTCTGAAATTCATGGCATAGAGTATTCTTCATTTATATTTTGTAAGAACTTAAACTAATTTTTTCAAACTAAAATGAAACTGAGTTTTCAGTAGTTCCAAATGCAACGGGCAAGTTCAATTAAAATACCAGTTTTAGAAAAATTATTTTTGACAAGAAATGAATTCTTCATAAAAGCTATTGTGTGAATCATTTTTCATACAAACAGCTACAGACAAATCCAGGCAGGATGTGAGGGTTCAGGGTGGAAGATCCATCTGTAGAGTTAGCACTTCACATTGTATGCTTTCTGGAATATGTTTGGTATATTTTTATACAACATCTAAGTACACTTTAGATGTTACCCATTAGTCCATTTTCTGAATATGGCATGATTATTCTCTACAGTATAATGTACTTTCTAAGTAACTGAAGGAGAGTGAGCAAAACACTCCAGTTAAAGACGTGCCTTCTTAAAAGCTGTTTTGCTTTTGTTTGTTTTTGTGGGTGTTTGAAATACATGATTTCTCCATTACCATTTGCAACACACTAACTTTTTTTCTTGTTTCTAATTTTACCACGATCATTTTAGGCTGTATTTTGCTTACCTGTTTTTGAAAATGAGCATGTTGTTGGGAGTTGTGTACAGGCATGGCTTTGGGCATACTTTGGCTATTGGAGCAGAAAACAAAAAAACACTGCTTTTTTGCAGGTCCTGCAAGAAAAGAATGGCTGGTTTGTTTGGCTTTGTTTTTGTTGGTAACCAAGTTATGAAAAAGCAGAACTAAGCACAGTTAATAAATCTGGTGCATTCCTTTGTGCCCAGTATGAGCATCAAACCTTGGATGTAAACTGCTTCCCCTTGTCCTCAGGCATTCTGAATTTTCTGTTTTCAATACATAGTAGGGTGATTTGTTCTTAAATATGTTTATGAAAAGTAGTTCTGAGTTGCTTTTTTCCCAGTGTTTTCCAAGAAATACGGTCATTTCTTAGCTAAGTTAAAAAGGATTAAGTTATGTAATCAGCTGCATATAAATTATAGTTTTTAAACATTAAATGTTTTTATTAGACCTTTTATAGAGAGAAAAAGTTGGAAGCAAGTTTGCTGTTCTCTTAAGTATAAATTGCTTTCACCATTTTTTGATCATATTTGGTAAGGAGAAAAGAACAAACAACATATGTGCTTGCCAATTTGTATGCAGCGTGTCAGCTTGATGCAATTAGAAGATATTAAGTCATAAAATATGACGTATGATGGAAATGCTGACATACTCCAACTTTGCAAAATCTCTCAATTTCTTATCCAAAATGAAACTATATATTACATCAGCTGTTTTATTTCTTGAGCATGTATCAGTGAGGAAGCAAATTTCTAGATCATTTATGCAGTAGGAATGAGATTAAGTAGTACTTTTAAAACACTGTCGTTCATTCAGTCATCTTTGAACAAGCTATATTTTGAGGTTAATTACAATTCGGTTACTTATGCAAGGAACAATCATTGATTTAAAGATATTTCTTTACTTTTGATTAAAAGAAATAACAATCCTAATCAGGCTAATATAGGGTAATGACCTTATGGGCATAGCTTCACATTTGCATTTTATTAGCTCATTTTGAGTATTCTCTTCTGTTGTAGGCATTTTCCGGAACTGTTATAGAAAAGGAGCCTTTGTCTCCCTCCTTAATACCACACCCAGTCATTGCTCACCCAGTCCTGCCTACCATTCTGGAGCGAAAATCAGAGGAAGTTTTGTCCGAAGCATCAGAAGGAACTACAAAGAGGATTTCAAAATTCAAAGCTGCCAGAATGCAACAGACTAACTAGGTCCTGCCTAGCCAGCCAAAGCTGGAGTACTCATGCCTAGTTTCACATTTGTTGAGATCATGTAAAACTATATGCGTTACACCTAGCTAGTTGAAGGGGTGTCCTATGTTAATTTGGCATTGGTTATCCTTTAAACGTTTATTGGCAACATTAAAAAAACAAAGTTCAGTGTTTGAACAATTGAGTATTCATCTCAGTTTGTCGATTTCCCCCTGTGCTGTCAGCACCTTTGTATATGTTTGCCTTATGATAGCAGCACTTGGGTTCTTTTCCAAAAACTGTTCCTTACATACATTGTTTTTGTGTTTAAACCTAATACAGGCAGTTTTGTGCCAGCTGTGATGTTCTACATACCATATGGACCATTTTAAGGAAACTTTTCACATTTCAAATAGATTCACCAGTTATATTGCATTACTTGCTTTAGCATTTTAAGACACACTTAGTATTCACATTGTTGTAGGTTTTGCAACTAGGTGTCTGCTAAAAGTTTTTTTCCTTCTTTCAAACCTCTCTGATATCTCACTGTACAGATCTATAAAATGCTGGGTTCATGTACATTGCAGGGAAGTTTCTTTGATGGAAAAGGGTATTTTGTAAAATTAAATTTTCAGTAAAAAAGCTGTGAAAGTTGTGGGTTTTTTGTTGCTTTACTACTGATTTGGAAACAACATGGAGAGGTTTTTATTTTGAACTTGCATTTCTAGCTTGAAGTGTTTACTGCCACATGGACATAAAAGCAGTCCATTCTCTTCTGCCATTGTGTTTTAACCTCCTGCTAATGAATGTCCATGGAAATTGAATGCTCTTAAGGAGAGAAGCATAGACTCAGACTCTGATTACAAAATCTCGTAGTTCTTTTGTATACTCAGAAAACATTTTAATTGTCTTAGGAATGCCCAGAGGGATTCAGCACTAAGGAAAAATGTCCTAGTGCTTCAACTTTATTTCAAAATGCAACAGCACTGCAGCACTCGGGGTCCAGTTTTGTGTATCCTTCTCTTGACCAAGAGCAATCCCAGCTTTAGGAGTCCCTGCCCAGCAGCTCCTGCCTGTCTTCGTGCCATTCCCTCCCTTGCGCTGACACAGCTTTTGTTGGGGCTACCCCTTAAACCATAATAGGTGTCGGAGCTGGGTTTAAAAAACAAACTACTGGGTCTGGGTTTTTTTTTGAATAGTTGTGTGTGTTTTCTTAAGGCTAGCGTGTTTCCTTATCTGTTCTCAGCATGTCTGTATCAGCACAGTTAGAGGGGTAAAGTGTTGAGCAAGGACAAGGGAAAGCGTAGGCAGAGGGCACGAGGAGCTGGAGTACCTTAAACCACAGCTGAAAAAGTGAGGAAAAAAGACTTGGGAGGCATAAGGAAGAATTTGCTTTGGGCTGCAGTTCTGTGGCTTCGTAAATGCGCAGCCTGAGAGCCTCCAGCATCTAGTTTTCCAAATCTTGGCCATCCATGAACAGGGTGTCAGCTAATGCTGCTTCCTCACCTTCCCCTGAAATAGCCGTGCCTTGCGCTGGTATCCTTTGCTCTCAGATCACAGCACCGAGCTTGCAGTGAAGCTTCTTACGTTACAACAGAATCACCAACTCCCCTTTTCAACGCTGTTTTCTTTCTGTGCTTAAAAGGCAGGTGAAAGCATTGGAACTTCTTTTTCTAAGGTGACACTTAAAAAAACCTGCACTCATCTGACTCTGATGTTCTCTGCCATGCGTTGGGGGAGGTGGCGCAGTTTAATGGGCAGAAAACGCTGGTGACTTGCGTGGGGGGCCAAGAGCTGGGGTCCCTGCTGGGGGGAGCGGCCCGCTGAAGCCGTGGGGCTGCGTTTTCCCCACGATATGGGACAAATTGTGTTTTGCTGAAAAAAAAAAAAGGGAAAGTTGTGCAGCCCTCCCACCCCCAAAGCTCGCCCGCTGGGTGGGGGCAATCTGTTTTAAGCAGATCTTGAGAATCACGTGAAAGTGTTAATGATTAACTTGATTCATGCTCAAATGCGGATTTTTTTTTTAAAGCATATTGCATTAGTACTAAAATAAGCCATCAATGCCAGTCCACCCTCTATTCACGGCTAAATATTTAAAGGAGGTTATTTATAGCTTCTTTAATGAATTCTTGGCTAAACAAAATGAAATTATGTCCTAGAAAAGTAGAAGCTATTTTGTAACCAGAACAGTGCAACTGTAAAATATAGTGCCATGAATATGTATTTTAAATAACAAGGGGTTGAGATCCAAGACTACCAGACATGGGTAATTAGAGGGAAAAGGAGAGAAAAAGAGAGAGAGAGAGAGAGAAACCCCTTTAAAAAAGATTTATTTAGATATCTCCTGAAATACTTCCCACTTCTAGTTACTTCAACAAAACCAAATGCCCCTTGTCACCATAGATCAGTTTCAAATCAAAATTAATTCCTTGCTTGTTTTCTTTTTTCTCCTCCCCTTTTTTCACATCCCTGCTCACGGGAAAAAGTAGGATAAATGCACCTTGGGTTTTAATGAATTATGGCCTCGGTTCAGGGAAGCATCCTTACTCAGGAATGCACTTTGGCATGTGCTTATGTCTCAAAGATTTTTGCAAAGAAGAATGGAGTGAACCACATGGTAAAACTAAGCACATGAGTGTTTTCCCTAATAGGGAGCTTGAATGTGTCTGTGCCCTTTTTGCAGTATATTTAATTGTCAGAGGGCTTGCAGGCTGGAATGATCCTGCATCTTTGGTCTCTTCACTTGGGCTTCACCAGTAGATTCACTGTGCAGTGCCCACACCAAGAAGAGATGGCTGCAGGCTTTCTGGAGAATGTTTGCAAGTGCTTAAAAATAAAGAAATCTACCAAAGCAGAAAAAAACCTAGACAGAGTAAAAAAATGATCACATGAAGGCCCATCTCAGCAAGGACTCAAAATGGCTTTTTATGCAACGCTGGAGCCAACAGTGCATGCAGATGACCACCAATGCACAGATGAAGCAAACACGAGGATGAAGCGACAGTGCCCCAGATTTGAGACATGTAAGGTTCCTGGTAGTAAATTCATCTGTTGGTGTGAGTGTCTTTTTTGCCCCAGTGCTGCAAGCCCTTGATGGCTCTTCCTGCTGCCACTGCTGGAAGGGCTCCTTGTCTGCCCAGGATTGCTGCCGAGGGCTCCAGGCAGGGGCTGAGGAAAGAGGTTTTGGTTCTTCCCAGTGTTTCCCGAGAGATTTTGCATGTCTTTTTTAAGGATGTGGCCTAGCTGGGGTTGGGGTGGCTTTGGCAGCTGGTCACGACGTGGGCCAGCAATGCATGTGCTGGAAGGAGCCCAGACCTGTCCCTGTGTCCCCAGCCCACTCAGGCACCAGCAAGCAGTGCCAGCTGAAAGTGCAGCAGCCATGACTTCACAACAGTCATGTGGAAATGCAGCAGGAGAAAAAAATGGGGAAAGACATTGCTGCACAAGGTGTCTTTGGTCCTAGTCCTAGTGCTTTTTCCCCCGAAGACGAGTGAAAAACTGGCAAAGGGATGAGAGGACTTCATGCAGCCTCCAGCTGCGTTAGCAAAGCCGCCCTTTGCCCA